TTTGTTCTATATCGCTCTCCTTCATCCCAAGATTGCACTATTCTTGATGTTATTTCTGATCAAATTGACCAAGCCCTCTCTCTTTATCCATCGGCCAATATCGTCGTTGTTGGTGACTTTAATGCTCATCACACCGATTGGCTTGGCTCTAGTGTCAGTGACTCTGCTGGCGTTAAGGCCCTCAACTTTTGCCTTTCTCAATCTCTAACTCAAATAGTCAACTTTCCAACTCGTTTTCCAGACAACTCTAATCATTTACCTTCTCTACTCGACTTATGTCTTGTTTTGGATCCTAGTCAGTGCTCAATTTCTCCACATTCACCCTTAGGTACTTCTGATCACGGTTTGATCTCTCTAAAACTATTATCAAATTCTTCTACTTCATCAAAATCCCCCTATCATCGTACCACATACAACTACCTTAAAGCTGACTGGGACTCTTTCCGTGATTTTCTTCGTGATGGCCCTTGGGTAGAAATCTTTCGTCTTCCTGCTGACAAATGTGCTTCTTACATAACTTCGTGGATTCAGGCTGGCATGGAATCTTTTATTCCCTCTCGACGATTCCAGGTCAAGCCTCACTCTTCTCCTTGGTTTTCCTCACATTGCGCTGCAGCAATTTCTAATCGAAACCGTTACTTCCATACCTATCAGCAAAACAATTCTCCAGAAAACAGACATCTGTTCATTATCGCTAGAAACCATTGTAAAAAGGTTTTGTCTGACGCCAAAGCTCGCTATTCCCAGGTCATTAAATCTCGTATCTCATCACAAAAATTAGGCTCTCGAGACTTCTGGAGAATCTTTAACAGTATCAATAATAAGGGCAAATCTGTTATTCCTTCTCTCTTGTATGGTTCAGACTTTGTCACCTCACCTAAAGACAAAGCTGAATTGTTTGCTAAGAACTTTTCATCAATATCATCTCTTGATTCCACTAGTTGCGTTTTACCTGACATAGCCGTCAAACAGGTTGATCCCTTGCTTGACATTCGCATCACTTCAGCTTCTGTATCTAAAGTAATTTCCTGCTTAGACTCTTCAACAGCTTGTGGTCCTGACAACATTCCTGTTGTAGTCTTGCAGAGGTGTTCTCCGGAGCTTTCATCCATACTTTCTAAACTATTTAACAAGTGCTTATCAGAGTCTTGTTTTCCATCATGCTGGAAAGCAGCATCTGTTATCCCTATTTTCAAAAATTCCGGAGAGCGATCTGATTCATCTAACTACCGCCCCATTAGTCTTCTTCCTGTCATAAGCAAGGTTTTTGAATCTTTAATCAACAAACACTTAATCTCTCATCTTGAATCAAATAACTTACTTTCTGATCATCAATATGGATTTCGGTCTTCTCGTTCTACAGCTGATGTGCTAACAGTAATAACCGATAGGTTTTACCGTGCATTAGATAGAGGTGGAGAGGTTAAGGCTATCGCACTTGACATTTCTAAAGCTTTTGATAAAGTTTGGCATGCTGGTCTTCTCCATAAGCTTTCTTCTTATGGTGTAGCTGGTAACGTCTTTAAGATTATTGAGTCCTTTCTTTCCAATCGTAGTATAAAAGTTGTCCTCGATGGACAACACTCTACTTCACATCCTGTAACTTCAGGGGTTCCTCAAGGTTCAATCCTTGGCCCTATACTCTTTTTAATTTACATTAACGATCTTCCAGATATTCTCACATCTAAGGTGGCATTATTCGCTGACGACACTACCATTTACTCTTGTCATGATAAGAAGCCTACACTCTCTGATTGCTTGGAGGGGGTATCTGAGCTTGAAAAGGATCTCACTTCTGCTACAGCATGGGGCTCACAGTGGCTGGTGAACTTTAATTCAGATAAAACTCAATTTTATTCGGCCAATCGTTATCGTAATGATTTAGATCTTCCTATATTTATGAATGGTAATGTACTAGATGAGTCATCTACCATTCATCTTCTAGGATTAACTCTTACTTCTGATCTTTCTTTTAAACCGTATATCAAATCTATTGCAAAATTAGCATCTGCTAAGGTTGCATCTCTTTATCGAGCTCGACACTTTCTTACTCCAGATTCTATTCTCTATCTCTATAAATCTCAAATCCGTCCCTGTATGGAATACTGTTGCCACATCTGGGGCGGATCTTCTAATGATGCTCTTTCTCTTTTAGACAAGGTGCAAAAACGAATTGTAAACATAGTTGGACCTGCTCTGGCAGCCAATCTCCAACCTTTGTCACATCGTCGTAATGTTGCTTCTCTTTCTCTTTTCTACAAATACTATAATGGACACTGCTCTAAAGAGCTAGCGTCCCTTGTGCCATCTACTAAAATTCTTTCTCGTGTTACTCGCCATTCAATTAAGTCTCATCCTTTTTCTGTGATTGTTCCTAAGTGCTTCAAAAACTCTTATTCTTCTAGTTTTTTTCCTCGAACATCAGTTCTTTGGAATTCGCTTCCTTCATCTTGCTTTCCTGATTCATATAATTTGCAATCTTTTAAGTCATCAGTCAATCGTTATCTTGCTCTACAGATTTAGTCTTTTCTCTTCCAGTAACTTCCAACTCTTATAGTGGTTGCTTGCAGCCTTGTTGGAAGTGAAGATGTTAAAAAAAAAAAAAAAAAAAAAAAAAATATTTTTGAAATTAGGGTGTGTTAAACCATCACCACCATATCCACCACCAACTTTAATAAACATCAATCATTGATGGTCTGGAATAAAATTATAGCAATTTTTTGTATAAAAAAAATAACCGTTAGTTGAAAAAAACACTTTTTATTGAAAGAAATATGCTTATTTTTAGGGTAAGGGTGGTGGTTCAGCACCCCCTCTAGCCCCCAGGAAACGCCTAATAGGTGGACGATGTTATAAATTTGTAGCCCACAGTTACACCTATCTTTTGATACTAAGTTATAGGTATTTAGACAAGAATTGACAAAGTTATAACAATTTAAGTAAAGAAAAATTAAATTTTGACCACAGTTTCTTCAACAAATCCATATATCAAAAATTTGCGACTAAAAACGTCATAACTTTTTGTACAATAGTCCGATTTTAATAATTTTTTCACCTTTGAAATACTGTATTGAAGCACTTTCTAATGATATATAACAATCTAACCTTTGATCAATTTAAAATTTTCAATCCACATACCTACATATATGTATGTGTGGGTGTGTGTACAATAATATACATTATGTGTGTGTATTATTGTACAGACACATACACACATATATTATATATTTGTATGTGTATATATATATATATATATATATATATATATATATATATATATATATATATATATATGTGTGTATGATTACAATAATACACATATATATATATATATATATATATATATATATATATATATATATATATATATATATATATATATATATATATATATATATATATATATTTATATATTACATATATGTATGTGTGTGTATGTATGCATATATATATATATATATATATATATATATATATATATATATATATATATATATATATATATATATATATATATATATATATATATATAGTTATAATTCAAGTATGCATTTTTTAAATGTATAAGTGCATATATTTGCATATATAAACAGTTTAAATGCATATATTTGCATATTTATACTTAAAAAATAGGGAAAGTCTTTGCATAAGAGTAATCTTTTTTTCTGCATTTTTTACTTTTTTGTTGCAATATTCAACAAACTTTAGTACAAAGTATAATAAAATATTTTCATCTAATAATAATCTCAATGCAATTTTACTTGTAGGATAATTTTTTTTATAATAATTTTAGTTTTTAGTTATGTTAATATTGATTTGATTTATCTAACTTACTTATTTACAGTTAAACAAAAACTGCAATAGGCAAAATATAAATAACTTTTCGAAAGGAATGGCATTAAGTCTGGAACATCTTCAACACATAAACTAATAGAGGAAACAGTTCTAAAAGTAGTTCTTCATTATATTTGCAGTTTGATTATTATTTGTACAATGCTTTTGTGACATCATTATTATAGATTTTTTACTAAAGTATACAAAGCAAAAGTTTCACCTGCAACCATTCTTTGCACAACTTATGTTAAAGAATTATACAAATCTTGTCTTGAAACTATTTTAAAAATTACCTATTTTAAAAATTACCTAATAACTATTGTTTGTGAACAACAGTTGATTAAAATAATGCTTCTGGGAGATCACAAATGCTATGATTGGAATATAACATTAAGAGCCAGCAATCAAACAAAACATTTTAGACATATGAGCATGTGAAATTTTATAGAAAATTTTTGGGAATTATTATGTTTTTTATTTCTGCAACACCATACATAGTGCAGAACAAATAAAAAGCAAAACAAAGACATTTCGTTTTTTATTTTGTAATATATATATATATATATAAAATATATATATATTACAAAAAAATATGTGGCTTTTTAAATATTTAATTCAACATATGATTCGAACCGTTATTGCACTATATTACTATCACCTTATTTATTAATAAGATATTTTTTTAAATTTTTAAATTTTTGGCAGCTATATTTAAAAAAAAAAGTATAGCTGCCACCTCCTAATGTGTTTTATATGATAAAAAATCACTGATTTTAAAATTTTTTTGAAGAAAAATCATTTTTGGAGTCCCTTAAACATATAAAGAGTTCCTATTATTATCAATTTAAAAAATCTTCAAAAGTGTATCTTGACATTTCGGCTCAAATTAAGCAAAATCGTGAAAGTTTCAAATATGAATAAAATATTGCCAAAAATTGGTAAAAATGGACATTTTTCTTTTTTAGTTAATAAAATTCATTTTTATGGTGTTAAATCTAACATTGAAATTTTCATATAATTTTGCTTCATTTAAGACTCAACATGATACACTCAAATAAAACATAATAAGTTCCTAAATAAATAAAACATAACAAGTTCCTAAAGGTTATAAGGGAGTCATCAAAATATTTTTTATTCAAAAAATTTTAAAAAACAGTTTTTTTTACCTGAAATGCAAATATTTCTTCGCAATAAAATTCTTTGCAAATTAAATAAAAAAATAAGTAATGAAAGACCTGCTTGTTATGATGCGAGTATTTATTTTTTTAAACTGTGTTAGTGCATATATTTGCATATATAAACTGTTTAAATGCATATATTTGCATATTTATACTTAAAAAATAGGTTAAAAAATATATTAGATTTAACACCATAAAAAATGAATTTTATTAACTAAAAAAGAAAAATGTCCATTATTACCATTTGGCAATATTTTTTTTGAAATTTTCATTTAATTTTGCTTCACTTGAGACCCATTATGATATAATTTATGCATAATACTTATGATATGACCATTATGATATAATTTATACATAATACACTTAAATAATTATTTTTTTTATAATTATTAGGAACTTGTTATGTTCCTAATAATCATTAAAAAAAAATAAGGGTCTTGAGGGAGTCATCAAAATATTTTTTTTTCAAAAATTTTTAAAAACCAGTTGTTTTTTATTATATGAAACACATTAAGCATATACTCTTCAAAAAAGTTTTTTTTGGGAAAATCCTATTAAATGATAATATTTTTTTTTTTAACTTTAAATAAATATGTTTTATATTGATGATATTTTTCTTGCTATTGCTTCAACTTTATTTCAATGTAAAAACTTACTTTTACTGTTATGACTTTTTCCTAATATATTGAAGTATTTTTTACTTTGTTATTTTTGTTACTATATATATATATATATATATATATATAAATATATATATATATATATATATATATATATATATATATATATATATATATATATATATATATATATATATATATATATATATATATTTATACATACATATATATATATATATATATATATATATATATATATATATATATATATATATATATACATATATATATATACATATATATATATATATATATATATATATATATATATATATATATATATATATATATATATATATATATATATATATATATATATATATATATATATATATATATATATATATATACATATATATATATATATATATATATATACATATATATATATATATATATATATATATATATATATATATATATATATATATATATATATATATATATATATATATATATATTGAAAAAGTGTAATTGTATTATATTTATTAAGGGCTTCATGATAAGATCCTCATGATCTTCTTGAAGTCCTCCCGTTGTTGCTGCCAAATGTAAATGTAAATATATATTCTCTTATGGTTATTGTAATTATACATATATACATATTATTGTAACTATATTATCTGGTTATTGTAACTATTTTTAAACGGCGAAATAAAGCTAAAAATAAAAAATAAAAATAAAAAAATTTTAGGGTGTGCAGTGCCGTACCCATACTGTTTAACCGGTATGGGCGCCCATACTAATGCGCCCAAATTAAAATTTATTTACAATAATTTAATGTAAATAAACGCCGCATAAATAATATTAAAAAACAATTTAAATATTCCAAAGGATTGAAGATTTTTTTAAATGTAAATTGCTGTAAAATCGCCATTTCGTACGTGAAATGCGTACTTTGTAACGCTTCATAACAATATCTTTAAAACTTATCAAATGTATCAGAGGAGAGAAGAAGAGGGGCAGAGATTTTGGCAAGGAGGCCTCAAACTATTTATTTATTTTTTTTTTTGGGCTGGTACCGCCCAAGCTATCGCTAAGTGCGGCACTGCATAGTATGGTAGTACAAAAGTAGGTCGTCAAATGGGTATAATTCCCAAAAACAGACTATATTATGGGGAGAAAAACTGGATTTCACTTTTTAATGAAAATCAATATTTTCAAATTTAGTTTTTTTTTTTTAATTTGGAATTTAAAATATGCTTTTAAAACTCCAAATTAAAAAAAAGAAAGGTGTTTTTGGTAAAGCATACGTGGTAGAACGCGTTTTAAACATTTTAAAACGCGTTTTGAAAATATAAAACAAAAAAACTGATTGAATATTATCGAGAAAATGGACAATTTTTTGTTACTAACAGTTTTTAGTTACAGTTTTTGTAAAGAACTAATTTTATAATGTTGAAGCGGTTATCATCGATGTTCTAAACATGTATTTCTGTGGTTAAGTATCTAAGGAAAAACTGTGGAATTGGTTCAATGGTTATGTAAGTTGTATCACTACACACTGAGGCGATTCTACTAACAAAATAAGGAGGTTTGAATGAATTCTTAAAAAGTACTGACTGCTTCATGTCTTAGGCTAGCACAAATAATGCTATTTACGCGTTGTTCTTCACAAACCAGCTTGCCATACGTTTTTTGAGATTATTAGCGTTTCTAATACAAAACGGTGTCTCGATAAAAATTTAGTCTCATATGATAGGTACTGATTGTTGCAATGCTTTTTATGAATTCAGTAAAAACGATAAAACAAATGTCTTTACAGAATATGTAAGTCAAAATTCTTCAAACTAATGAGACAGTCTGAAGAATACAAAACAAATTTTTCCAAGGCGATACTTTTACTTTTGATGTCACCCATTTTGAGCATATAGAGAAGTTTACATGCCAACTACATAGGTTGAAATGCAATTATACGACTAAAGGAAGATACATCAAGTTTATGTCAAAAAAAGAAGCTCTAGAACTCCAAAGGTTTTCAACTATTAGGAATGTCTTTATGCGTCATTGCAAGAAAGTTTCGTATATAATAAAAACTGTTAAAAGATGATTGGAAGCAAATTATAATATTACAATATCTCATAAGCATGGGTGGAGAAAAATTAGCCACCACCTTAAGTTTAATTGGGCGCTCAATCCACCAGCTTCAAAAGAGATTTTGCAATTAATTTTCTGTGCGAGTTAAAATTCAAAGCATGAAACAGAGTTTGTCTTTGTCAATTGAATATATTAAGTACAGATTTGCAGTTGTTCACTTTGTGAAAACAAAAAAGATACCACACAATCTTCATAACCTTAATTACTCTATTCGCTGTTCCGCAATTAAATGCTTATCATTAGTTAAGAGACACCAACAGGGAGATCTAATTCAAAAATACAAACTAGAGAATTTTAAAAATAAAGTAGTCAGGCACAAAGAACCTATGAAGTTCACGAGCTGACCAACGTTAACAATACCACAGAGAAATCATAAAGAACTGTGCTCAACGGTATCATTTCTTTAACAATAGAGTTGTTTCGAGTTGGAATTCATCACCAGGTGATGTTGTTATGCAGCAAAGCACAAACTCTTTTAAAAATAGCTTGGACAAATACATTGAACAAAATTTAAAATTAATAATTTAACGAAACTGCAAAATGAAAATGCAGTCCTAAAGTTACTATAGCTTGCTCATTCTTTGGCGTTTGACGTTGTTGCCTGCAACAGATGAGATGCTTTACACAAAAAATGACAATAAAACTTTTTTTTTGTGTAACTTAAGTTACCAATACTAATACTAATATATATATATATATATATATATATAATATATATATATATATATATATATATATATATATATATATATATATATATATATATATATATATATATATATATATAATAGTAATAATTATGTATATACATATAATAAAATTTTAAATATATTTAAAATATTGTTAAGGTATTGGTATTCAAGAGATCACAACTTAAAAATCTTTATTGAAAAAGGAGTTTATTTTTCGAGTATAAGATTTTGTAGGACAAGAGAAATACTTTGCAACTTATTAGTGCTTTCTTTCTTCTTCCCCCCTACATTTGTTGGTTTGGGATGCAACTGAAAAAGATAAATTCACCTAACTATTTCAACCATGGTTAGAGAATTTAGTTGCTCGAGTAAAATTTTTTCATATCATTGTTGTTGGTACAAAATTAGATCTCCTTAAGAGAGATGACATAGATAATGTTTGTGATCAAATGAAAACTGAGATTAAAACGCTTATATAGAAATTATTCCTACTATTAGAAATTCAAAATAGAGCAATAATTTTTTTTTCTAGTAGACTGAAAATTTGCTTTGTTTCACTGAACACAAAGTTTCCGCGTTATTCTAAAGGTTTTGTTTCATTACTGTTTTTTTGTTGTTGTTGCTGAAAATGCAGGACTTATCTTAGCTCAGTGCTTGATTTAAACTTATAAACTTCTGTTATCAACATTTAATTGATTCTTTTGCTGTTAAAATCAATAAAAATCATCTCTACCTTCAATGTAATCATTGCCTAAACCTTTTTCATAAAAAATGCTGTCGTCTAAATGATATGGAATTTAGGATATTGAAAAACTCTGAATCTTCTTGGTTCTGTATTTTATGTAGGAAATATGTTTTTCCATTTAGTTCTCTATCTGATAAGGAGCTACGTCTGCAGACAATAAACGATAAAGGGATTCATATTAATGAACTCTCAAACAACATATCATCTTTTCCAAACACCATAGAGTCTTTTTAATCTTTATAACGAATTTAATGATTTCATTTCCCATCAATTTAATGACAATGACGTAAACCTCGAAGAAAACCCTATTAATTGTAAATATATGGACATTTCAACTCTGCCAACATTGACAAAAATAGTTTTTCTTTTTTTTTTTCATTTAAATATTGCTTCTCTTGTTAAAAATTTTGATGAGTTAAACTCACTTTTATCTCTTATTAACCATGAATTCAGTATTATTGACATAACTGAAGCTAAACTAAAAAATGAAATCATACCAACTATCCCATTAAATCTTACTAGTTATGTTTATGAGTACACTCCGACAAAATCTTATTATGGAGGCGCCTTACTTTATATATCTAAAACATTAACTTACAAACTTCGAAATGATCTTAATATGCTTAAACCAAAGTTTCTAGAATCTGTGTTTGTGGAAATCATATTTCCTAAGAAATCAAACATCATTATTGGCTGTATTTATCGCCATCCTAGTATGGATATTTCAGAATTTATTAAATCATTTTAATTCCACTTTTTGAAAAGCTATCTATGGAAAACAATAAAGCTATTTTTTTAATGGGTGATTTTAAT